TGTCCCAGAAGGATACTGTGGTCTACGGTATCAAAGGTTGCTGAGAGCTCCAACAGAACCAAAAGGGACACAACCCCCACCCCCATTCAGTTCCCGGCACAAAAGATCCACTAAGGCAACCAGGGCTGTTACAGTTCCATGTCCTGGCCTAAAACCAGACTGTGCCCGATCCAGATAATCAGTTTATTTCAAGAACACCTGGAGTTGCAAGGCCATCACACATTCTAGGACTCTGCCCAAAGAGGGGAGATTGGAGACAGGCTGAAAGTTGTTCAGTTGGGTGGGGTCCAGTGATGGTTTTTCAACAGCAGTTTTATAACAGCTTCTTTTAAGCTGGCTGGAATCTTGCCCTCCTATAAGGAGTCATTAACTATCACTTTCACCCACCCTGCCAAACCCCCTTCTGGCTTCCTTTATCAGCCAGGATGGCCAGGGGGGTCTAGGATGCATGTGGTTACTCTTGCCTCTCCCAGCATCTTGTCCACATTCCTGAGCTCCACCAATCGAAATGAACCCACCAATACCGGACAAGCAGATGCTCGTGTTACATCCTAAGAGACTGCATGGTGTCCAAGCCAGAATGGATCAGAGTGACTTTGTCTGTAAAGAACTAAGTGAATACTTCACAGCAGGCTCTTGGGAGTTGGGATTTACCAACCCTCTGACTATGCAAAACAGCTGCACTGGATGGTTCCTTGTAGATGCAATATTTATTTGCAGCTTAATTGCCACGGCATATGTCCTTAAATAGGCACACATTTGTGTTCGGTCTGACTCGCTATGCTTTAAACATCACATGCACTCTAGTTTCCCTTTCTTTCGCTTCATCACTGCCAGCTCCCTTTTGAACCAAGGAGCTGGTTTAGCTTGGCTAATCGAGAGAGGACGTTCCAGAGTAATTGTGTCTATTGCCCCTTGTCATCTCCCTACTCCAGAGAGTGACCAGACCATCAACAGGATCACCTACCGAGGTGGTGGGAAATTTCCCAAGAGCCATCAGGAATCCATCCAGATCCATTAGCCTCCTAGGGCAGATCATTTTAATAGGTCCTCCGCCCCCTGCAGAGGTTGGGGGCACAATAAGCCTAAACCTGATCAGGTGATGGTCAGTCCATGGCAACAGAGCATACTTGCTACAAAGATATTTCTTTATTTCCTTTAGAACCTGGACCATCAATCAGCTATTTGATGTAAAATTATATTTAGGGGGCTTATAGATCTGGGTGGATTCCTGACAGCTCTTGGCTTTCAGAAGAAAAGTGAAAACTGGTCTGGGGTCAAGCCTTTGGAAATTAGCTACAGTGTAATAATAACTATGAAATATGTGCAATGATGCTCAGAATGGCCCCGGATTACAATGGTGGATGGCATAATTTTAATAGTGATTATAAAGTTTATATGTTTTAATGTGTATTTTAACTTTAATTTTAAATTTTAACTTAAATGTATTTAATTGTCTGTTGTCTAAAGGCATCAAATAAGTTGCCATATGTAAAGCCGCCTTGAGTCACCTTCAAGGTAGAGAAAGGTGGGATACAAATAGGGTAAATAAATAAATAAATAAATAAATAAATAAATAAATAAATAAATAAATATGTTGTAAGCCACCCCAAGTCCTTTTGGGGAAAGGGGTTGGGATATAAAGATTGTTGTTGTTGTTGTTTTAATGTGCGCTGTTTTTCAACTGTTTTCCTTTAAGTCAAACCACAAAAGAAAATACAAGAAGTAATCTGTTATTTGTCCATTTGATGGGGATATGTATATTAGCACACTTGGGGAAACCTATGTACTATGTTTAAAAGCATAGAGAACAAGCTTAGGAGAGAATTATGAACATCACTTTAAAATAATCTGTATAAAACCCAATCCAGCTTGGCACCAATCAGTCGAACCTTTCAGCTCCTGCTTTAAATGCATTGATTCATGTTCACAGAAGGTTCAAAGTGTAATTTTTGACACTTGATTCAGTTTGTGGTGGAAGGTTTTCAGTGCAGTGCAATACAGAAACATCAGTCCAATATGTAATGGTGGGTGTGGGGTTGACATATAAACTTCTCTTGGGAGTACAGCTCTTAACACACTGTAGTCCATCGAGGAAGGATAGTTCACTGAACCAAGAACTACCCCTGAATGCTAGACGTTTTGCCCCCACTATGAACTGTTACTTTGTCACTTGTAATTCTCCTTTTGGTAACCATGGAAAACTAATCAGGCAGACTCAGATGCTGCTAGCTTGTTTTACAGAACAAATGTTTAGGAGAACTCTGTCTCACCCAAGCCATTGCTTGTTAAACAGTCATAGGCAGATTTATTCAGGTTTGCCTCTCTTGAAGCCCTTACCTTCTATTTTTTCAAAAACCTCTACACATTAGGAATAGTACCAGCTCAGCCTTGGACAAATTTATTCAGTGATTCATTGTCACTCAAAGAATCAGTGTGACATAGTGGTTTGAACACTGGACTATAACTCTGGAGACCAGGGTTCAAATGTCCTCTGAGCCATGGAAACCCACTGGGTAAACTTGGGCAAGATCCATTCTCTCAGCCTCAGAGAAAGGCAAAGGCTGAGACTCTCTGAACAAATCTACCAAGAAACCCACATGATACATTCTTTTTAGGGTCACCATGAATCGGTAAAATCTTGAAAGCACACAACAGTGCACCATCTTCTTTTAGATTTTCCTTGGTTTTTTATATCACTGAATGTGTTTTTGTACATTGACATAAGCCTGTTTTCCCAACACAGATATTAACCCTGAAGTTAGTATTTTTCCCTATTCATTTTCCCAATTTGTATTGTCTACAGTTACAGAATTTTAACTGCAGACTTTCATATTACATTACATAATTACAGCACTATGATTTTACTTTTAACTGCCCTGGCAGAAGCCTATAGAACTCTACAATGTGTAGTGTAGTAAAACATTTTTAGAACTCTCACCCACAAAGTTCTAGCAGTCCACTTTTTCCATACTGTAAATTGAGAATATTTCCCATTTGTATGTATGTTTTCCCATGTCCACCAGGTATATCTCACCTCACACTTAACAGACAATCGCTTCTTTCATTTTGTGAACTATAATCTCAATGTTATGAAATTCTTCAGTAACCTTGTAACAATTTGCTTGTGAACTGAACATCTTAAATATTTTGCCATTATGTATAAATTCTACTACTGGAAGAGGTTAGAAATGTTTTGTACAACGTATCTACTTTGACCATATATAGAATATGCAATAACTGCAGATATTTAACTTTAGACATTTTTTTCATGTCAGAAACGACTTGAGAAACTGCAAGTCATTTCTGGTGTGAGAAAATTGGTTGTCTGCAAGGACGTTACCCAGGGGATGTTCTACCATCCTGTGGGAGGATTCTCTCATGATAATCTATTAGAACAGCAGCATTAATTTTACCTTTACTTAATCAAATCGCAAGACACAGAATTTAAGCTACCATCTTTTGCTTAATCACCACAATAACCAATAAAATATTTCATGGAAGTTTTGTGGATTGATCAATGGGACTCTTTAGACAGACAATGAGGGAAGTTACATATAAATTTGAAGCACAAGCATAGAATGGGGAGCAGACGGAAGAGAGAGCAAAGTGGACAGAAGGGGACACTTTGAAATTAAAGACAGTTTTCTGATTTCAGAAAAAGTAATCCCGCTGGCTTTGAAAATACATTCTTCATATGTATTAACTAAAATGAATCTAGTGCCTTCTAAATATTTCAGGTTTTCATATCAAACAAATCACCAGGAAGACAATTCTACTGACTAGAAACTGCAACTTGGACCCCTACCATACTTTACCTGCTAGTAGTATGGAGTAGAAAGAAAGGATATAGACAAGACAACCTTCATCCAATCTGGACAAATGTCTTAAAAGATACACATAGCCCTGCAGATGTGGTAGTCATGTGGCAAAGCCCTGAATTCTTTGACTTTTATGAACTGTTATTTGGCATACTAGATGGAAAACTGGGAATTGCAGCCCCCTAAATTAATTTTCCTAGCTCTGATTAGAAGCTGGAAGCCAGGGTCATAATTTCCTCTAGGAAATCTATTTCTAAAAGTATTTGGTTACCCTTTATTCAATAGTAAGGAAATTACTTGGTTATGCTTTATCCCAAGGCATGGAAGTAATAAATTACAAGGCAACGTAATGTTTTGTTATAAGTTACTCTTGGGGAGAACAAAGTTGCAACAAAGTTACAATTCAAAAGCAGCATAACTAAAACCAAACAAAACATTATGTCACTGTCTTAACAATGCCGTAGTAAGTTTTTAAGTTACAAACTCATGGACAATTATTAAACAATGAAATACGAAGCATAAAGAATTACCATATATGCTCGAGTATAAGCAGGCCCAAATATAAGCTGAGGCATCTAATTTTACCACAAAAAACTGGGAAAATGTATTGACTTAAGTATAAGCTGATGGTGGGAAATGAAGCAGCTACTGGTAAATTTCAAAATAAAATTAGATACCAATATAAGTTCATTAATTGATGCATCAGTAGGTTAAATGTTTTTGAATATTTACGAAAATCTGTAATTTAAGGTAAGATTGGTCAACTCTAATTAAACCATTATTCTAACTTTCTTCAATGTAAATATGCTTACACATCCTTCCAATAATAATAACAAGCATATAATAATAGTAAAATAACAAATAGCTATGGCTCGAATATAAGCCGAGGGGACTTTTTCAGTCTAAAAAAAGGGCTAAAAAACTAGGCTTATATTTGAGCATATACAGTACTTTTAAACATGGTAATAAGTAACAGCCTGGCCCTTTTTAGTGATAGGAATTGCTTTTTAAAAGTAATTCTCTCTGTCATAGTAAAAGGTGCATGGGAGTGAATTGAGGGTATTTCTAGCTTTCTTCACTTTGAAGGCCAACCAAACCCACCATTGAAAACGTGGGATTGTTTTCAAGTATGAAAAATATGTAATCCTAGCATTTTGAAATAAAACAAAGGGATCTTACCTTAAAGCATCAAAGCTGTCATATGATCCAACAGTATAGTGTCTAAACAATTTCTTTGTTCTATCAGCTCGAGTTTCTGTTCAAAATGAAGACAGGATATATTTAATACAGGATTTGTGTGTCTAGGAAAATATTTATGCATTCTTGTATATTGCCGATATCAGTGCTGTTGTTCTAATATCTGTTTTGCGGTTAATAAAGAAGGTGAATACATTACAATATTTAAACACATGTGCATATATTAAAATCCATTTTTTTTGCATTAAATGGAAGTAGGTCAAGTAGTGTCATCATAAACCTTTCACTATAAAGGAAAAAGTGTTGCTGATTTCAGGCCAAAAACATCATGTTGCCACTCACTTCCTCATGGGAGTTGTAAGACACTTCTCAAGGCTGTCAGTGTTGAAGAAACCTCCTTTTATCTATGTATGTGAAGGTGCTTGAGATGTTGATTTAAACATGAGTTTTTAATCTTTGTCATGTTTCTATTTCACTCTTTGCTTCAGAAGTATACTGTCATATTGTCTACTATGATATTGTTGTGTCTGATCATCATCGCCATCGTCATCGTCATCATCATCATCATCGATTTACATAGTGCTATCACTGTACATGGTTGTTACAAGGAAAAGAACAAGAAAAAAAATCCCCTACCCCCAAGGCTTTCAATCTAAGCAAACACAGATAAGGCAAGTGGATAGCAATCTGAGAAGGGATTATCCTATATATTCATGTATGTATAAATCTAGAAATTTTAATAAAATACCAAACCAAAAAACTGTGCCAAGTTATCCACAGGTCAATGTGAGTATTGTACCTTAACTCTTATGAAAAGGAACCATTCCCTTCTCTGAATTGTGAAAGGCAAAACCTTAGTTTGTCCTGTGCGAAACTAAACCCTTCACTACTCTTTCCATCATGGTGCAACTTATCTTCTTTTTTGAATGCCTGATTGGGGAAATAGTAATAGCCATCAGGGGCAACTGGCTCCTTGAAGTGGCATTGGTACTTTCCCATCTCTGAAGAATGACCCTCAACTTATATAAGTTACTTCAAAATATGTAATTTTAGCCCCAAAACCTGCCTACAACTTACACATGAGATCAACATATGCAAGTATATATAGTAAGTCCATCAGATACTGTCTCCTCTACTCTCTCTCTAAGGTCAGAACAGATGTTATTGGGATCAAGGTAGGGTTTTTCATTTGCTTCTAATGAAACAGTTATGAAAACTATTAGATTGCAGATTAAGCCACCAATCTCTTGCATTATATGGTATGTATTCACAAGCACAAATTGCTGCTTCCTCTGATAAATTTTTGAGGACACCCAAAAACTGGAGTCTTTCCTAGCCATAAAGTGTCGATTTATGCTAGTAATATGGAGGTTTCTACTACCCTTTGATCCTGGCAACAAATATTTTCAACTGCTTCAAGAGGTTCCAGCAGGACTCCAGAGGTGGTAGGAGGTTTATTCCAGTCCAATGAAGAATTTTCGCAACTTGCAACTGGCTCTGAGTCCAGTAATCTTCAATCAGCATCATTGGTTAGCTTTCAACAACCAAATAAAAACAAATGGTAGCCATTGCCAAATACTGCTATCAAAGTACTTCAGCTACAGCTTGCTGAACAGATCAAGATGTGCCAGTTTGAATATAATGGATTATTCAGAACTAAAAGAGTGAAAGTAGCAGACATACCGGTATTTTTCAGAGCAGGGTATTGTCTTATTCTTCCAAGAGCTGTGAGCCCCAGGCAGAAAACTCCCATCTTGGAATAGCATTAAACATCAAGTGTTTTCCTGTGTTAGATTTATCATTCATGAAAATTATTTAATCTGATGAGAGCGAATATGGTGTAGCAGCTTGAGAGCCCCATACAGCCATGGAAACCAACTGAGTGACCTTGGGCAAGACACAAAGCAAAGGCAACTCACACAATGCAACCCCTTCCTGAGAAATCCTGCCAGGAAAACCCTTGTGATAAATTCACCTTAGGGTCACCATCAGTCATAAATGACTTGAAGGTAAACAATAACAATTTATTCTTGTATTAGCAGAAGTAGTAGAAATTATGTTAAAATGAAGCAAAAAAAATCTTTTCCACGCTTTGTGAAAAGCACCGAATAACCTGTTCAACTATTAGAAGATAGCAAGACAAGGAAACAATACAGTCAACTTCTCAAACAATCTGCCTTACTTGCACTACATATGTAGATAGTGTATTTAATGCCACATTCTACTGCAATTTCTGACTTTTGCAGTTTGGTGAGGTACTTAGGATTTCATCCCACGAGAGTAGGATAGTGGGGGGGGAGGGGGTGTAGTTTTGCAGTATCACTTTGTGAAATTAAATGAATGTTTACTCTACCCTTATCACTGGTTTTCTACCATTATGATTTCTTTAGAAATTATCCATTTGCTGTACCATCAAATGGGATAGATATTTGTTCTCCCACTGAAATTTAAAAAACAAATAAAAAAACCCTCAGTTTTTGAAATTAGAGAGGAAATTGTTCATCTGATGAACCAGCCTGGACACAGCATATTATTTGAGAACACAGAAATGCTGGACCACTCCAACAACCACCACGTCAGACTACACAGAGAAGCCATTGAAATCCACAAGCATGTGGACAATTTCAACAGAAAGGAAGAGACCATGAAAATGAACAAAATCTGGCTACCAGTATTAAAAAACTCTAAAATTATAACAGCTAAACAACAGAGAGGAAAAACACCAGGCACAGATTAACACCTCCCAGCAACAGATTTTCCCAGGCTCAGGCAGGCCTTCAAATGCTAATGAAGGTGATCAGCTAAACATTCACACCTAACTGCAGCAGGGAAGAGCTCCTTGCCCCACCCCAGCCATTCCACAGATATATAAACCCATTTTTCCTAGTTCCAACAGACCTCACAACCTCTGAGGATGCTTGCCATAGATGCAGGCGAAACGTCAGGAGAAATGCCTCTAGAACATGGCCTATAGCCCGAAAAAACCCACAAGAACCTAGTGATTCCAGCCATGAAAGCCTTCGACAATACATTGAGCTAAGACTCCTTACTAATGTAATGAATATCTAAGAAAAAATGAAGTAGCAATAATAGTGAGTAGTAAGGCACAGTTGGGTAGGATTGGTGGGTGGGGGTGGGGGGGGCAAATTGGCACACTTTTCCAATGCCATTATCATTCAAATCAACCTTAACTACAAACTCTTACAACCATAGTGTCTGCTTAGAAGTCTTCCCCATGTGTTTACTGGAATGAATTCCCAAGTGTGTGTGCATAGGACAGATTGTGTGCAGCCTTTGTTATTCCTATGAAGGCGCAACAGCAACAGCTGTTTTAATCTTGTTTGTACATTCAATACAGATAATTTCTGGGGCAGCGCAAATACACATGAGCTTTCATAGTCCAATGTTGTTATATCATTTTGTAAAGCAGTACTCCTCAGGATGCTCTGAGAAGAGGCGATACAAGCCTCTTTCCCCCTTTTTTCCTCCCTCTTTCCCCCTTTTTGGGGTACATGCCTACTACATAGGCTAATTGTATGGGCACTGCACCATTTTCAGTATCTTTTAAATCTGCCTTTGGAGGCTGTTGCACAGCCACATCTGGGCTGCAATGAGTGTCCAAGGCTTTGGAGGTACATGCATGGTTGGTTTAATTTCAGAGAAGTCAAAAATAGGGCAATATGAAAAGGTGCATCAATGCACATGGACCAGCATTATGAATACAGACAGAAAGAAGCAGCAAGCTTTTTATTTTGAAGAGTTCTTGGAGAAAGCTGGTAAATAACAAGCTAATTCTGAAACAAGTCCAGTGACATTTGCCAGCGCTTGATATCACCAATCCTGAAGGTAAATTTATAAAACCTCTGTATTCATTCTGTGTTCCTTGAAATTATGATTGGAGTGTTGAGAGCAGCCAGCTACAGCAGCACACTGGTTTCTAGAAGAGGCATGATCTCAGAGTTCTATTATAGTACTGGAAGTGGGTGGGAGGAAAAGCAAAATGCAGTTACAGGCAAAATTGTTCAGCTACCTAACATCTATAAAGCAAGCATTTATCTGTGATTATTTCAACCCACCTTTTTAAGGGCATTTGCAGGTCATTGATTATCTCTGGGAAATGGGGGAGAGAGGAGTCAAGAGGATAAGGCAGGAATATTACAAAGCTTTTACTCATATCCAATATACATTTAAACTAGACAAACATCCTGCCTCTCCCTTTAAAATACAGTTCACACAGGGTATTATGATATATGATGTATTGCTTTTTTATCTGATTGTATATGCATAATTGAATATTGCCATGTTGTAAGCCGCTCTGAGTCCCTCTTGGGGTGAGAGAGAGAAAGCGGGATATACATATAGATAAAGGTAAAGGTTTTCCTCTGACATTAAGTCCAGTTGTGTCTGGCTCTGGGGGTTGGTGGTCATCTCCATTTCTAACCCAAAGAGCCAGCATTGTCCATTGACACCACAAATATGATATCATAGGCATCACTGAAACCTGGTGGGATGACTCCTATCTCTGGAATGTAGACATCGAGGGCTATAACCTCTTTCACAGAAACCGAACAAAGGGGAGAGGAGGCGGAGTAACCTTATATGTCAAAAACTCTTATGCTGCAGAAGAAATGCATGACAGCAATCCGGGAAACCAGCTTGAAAGCATCTGGATAAGAATCAAGGGAACTGGGACTCAAAAAGATCTTGTTGTAGGAGTCTACTACAGACCTCCAAGCCAGGAGGAAGAACTTGATGAAGTCTTCTGCCAACAGTTGACCAAACAGGCACAGAGAAGAGATGTAGTAGTCATGGGCGATTTCAACTATCCCGATATTTGCTGGAAAACAAACTCAGCCAAGAGTACAAAGTCCAACAAATTCCTCGCTTGCCTTGCATGGTCCAGAAGGTAGAAGAGGCAACAAGGGGATTGGCTACTCTTGATCTCATCCTAACAAATGTGGAGGACCTGATCGATGCGGTCGAAGTGGTAGGATCCTTAGGGGCAAGTGACCATGTGCTCCTGCAATTTGAGGTACAAAGGAAGGCCGAAACTAAGAC